CGTTCCATCTTGTGTGGACGAGCTTTCTACTATGTTTAACACAAGTATGTAAAAATTGTTTCTTTTTTCTGGTTTTTCGGTTTGCGCTCAATTTGTAACGAGAATTTTCTCATTTGGCTCTTTTTATTACAGTTTAACGTGGTTTTAACTACTCTTCAGTTTATTATGTCAATTTTACTTCGTTTTATGTATTTAATTTTGCGTTGCGTATTTATTGAATTTTGTAATAACATTGATAAAGGCCTGATGACAGGCTGAAACGTTTGTTTTTTATTGTATTGTTCAATGGTTATAAATTAATACACGATAACCTTCGCACGAATATCTGGCTGTTGGCTCTTTACGCTCCTATCAAATTTATTGATTTTAACAATCAGAGCCTGATACATCTGTAATTTATAAAAAAATATTTTGAGCAAAAATGTAGATACTGCTATTTGGCGTTTACTTTTTACTCAATCGAATCGAGTTTCGTTACTATGATTCAGTTGGTTGCACGGAGAAAGGAATGTAATTGAAACGAAAATGGGAGAATCTTTGTTCCACGTTCATTAATTCTCTCGCGCAATCAAGATGCTCGCTCACGAACGCGAATAGTTTTCTAATTATTCTCTGTGTGCTGCATTCCCGCGATCGAAAGCATGTGAATATTCCTCTACGTTTTCTCCCTCCCGCCAGATGATCTGCAGGAAATGAAAACGAGAACTGCTGACGTGCATAAATTACTACGCCGACAGCACACTTAGCTTTGCAATTGATGAACGCGGGGAAGCTCTAATACACGCGGAAGATACTCTGAAATCGCGCACCGTTATACCTGCTATTGAAACCCAATCGTGCGTTTGACGTTTTGCAACTATATTGCATATTATTCATACAATACTTGAAATCCAACGCGAAGAACAGAAGATCCGCGTATCTTTAAATTAATGCAACAAAGATTTTATATTAAATGTGTATAATTTACTTCAAAGACCTAATTTACTGGAGAAAACTATGCAAAACATAATATTCAAGATGACTTATTTTCAAGATGCATCAGAAGATTAGACGTCCGCGATAAAGCCTGTTTCTACGCTCACAAAATATCTCATGAAATATGTATAACATCATACTTTAAGAGCAAGGCATTAATATGTTGAAACACGTATGAATATATGCAAATACTGTTGCTCGACGTTTGATGTAAAATATAACAATCTTTTTCATCCGCTTGGAATAGCCCGAATGAGAGAAAAAGTTGTTTTCAGGTAGTCAAAATTCGGTGCCACAAAAGGACTTAAGGCTACGCCAGACCGGCGGACTCAGAAATTCCTCCTCTTCGGGATCGTCGCAGGATGTCCGCGATGCAACGTCCAGCCCGAGACGGCCTGTTAGCTATGTGCATCCCTCTCAGCTTCCTCAAAGGTGAAAGTCAATATCAAATGTCACACTCACATTGTAAATTGTGTTTGACCTGAGCTAAAGATAAATTCAAGAAAAGGAAACTGGTTGACAGTTTTTTCGGTTACCGATAGATTAGCAAAAGCAGCTGTTTTCTTTCATGTCTTTTAAAAATGTCACGTCATTTTTTAACCATAAAGATTTTGCACATGTTTCGAAATATTTTCCAGCTGCATTCTCACTCTATTTTAGAAGCTTTTAGGAAACAGAGATTTGCATTTTATCTTTACATCAGCTAATTACTTTTCGTTTTAGGAGATCCGTCCATTATCAGTCAACAGGTTCTTTGCATTCGGATAGCCCGAGTAGTAGTAGTGTTTCTCCGGTGCCATCGCCAAGCCCTAGAGCTACACCACTGCCTGTTGCCAGGTAAGGAATCTAATAAACTCGATACAAATCAATTCACTACATGTTACATTGTTAGCAAAACCTTTTATGTCCCACAAAAGAGCAACCGAACTGAAGACGCTTACCATGAATATCTCGAATGTAACAAACCCCTTCATAATGAATCGATTGTGTAGCAACTTAAATTATATTAACAGTTATTTTCGTTGCATTATTAATTGTGTTTGCGTGTACTATCGTAATAGATATGCGCATGTATGTTCGTATATTCGTGTTATCGCCACGTTAATGAGCGCTCGCTATTAATTAGTAGCGATATATATTTCGATGTTGTTAGCGTTATTATGATGTTATGTGACGCGTGGATGTATGCATGGCGTTGTTGTACGAGAATCTAATTCGATGTCTTAGATCGCCTACGGCAAGATCAAACGGACCGCCACAAAGTAATCTAAGAAGAGCGAAGAGATGGTCGTCTACCGGCGATTTTACACATTCCCCGCAAAACCAGGGAAGCAACTCCCAGCTCGTCGGTACCAGGTTAGCTCGCAGCTAATAACGTAACAGTAAAACGCACCGTTTGCCTGCTATTTGTGATTTTGTTCACATTTCACTGATCACACGAGTTTAACTTTTTTTTTTTGTTACACCGCCAGTTTTCTTGCTTCCTCTCTCGGGCGATCGAGCGCATTTTCCCGTCCAAGTCGCCGTCTCTAGCTGTGTGAAGTTAGCCCCCCAATATTAAAAAATTAAAAATTTTTTTTGTCAAACATTTGCCCATTGTTTGCCCACGAATGCCCCATCGAAATTTCCGTTTGCCCTCCTCTAGTTCTAAAGTTATAGGCAAATCAATTATGGGGAAATCAACTTCACACTGGCTCTTCCATATTAAAAATTCGAAATTTTCTTTTTTGCAAACGTTTACCCTCTAGTTCGAAAGTTATAGACAATTGAATTTGAAAGGGGAGTCATCTTCACTTTGGTCCACATAATCTTGCTCATTTAAAATAAAAACTTTCCGAGTCATGAGTCGTCACTCTGAAGGCTGCTCGCGAGCAAGCTTTTGGCCAGACCTAGGTTACGCAATGGACGGGACTATGTGCCACCACTGCGCGCGCGCATGCACATTACGCATGCACGCACAGAAAGAGGGGGTGAAGAGTGGAGGGAGGAGGGAGGGAGGAAGAGAGAGTGAGAGAGAGAGAGAGAGAGAGAGAGATTTTAGATTTTTTAATATTGGGGGCTCAGTGTGAAGTTTGCCCCCCCCCAAATTGATTTGCAAAAAAAAAAATTTTAATTTTTAATATTGAGGGGCCAGTGTGAAGTTGGCCCCCCAAAATTGATTTGCCTATAACTTTTGAACTAGAGGGGGGCAAACGGAAATTTCGATGGGGCATTCGTGGGCAAACAATGGGCAAACGTTTGCAAAAAAAAATTTTTAATTTTTTAATATTGGGGGGCCAGTGTGAAGTTGGCTCCCCCAAAATTGATTTGCCTATAACTTTTGAACTAAAGGGGGGCAAACGGAAATTTCGATGGGGCATTCGTGGGCAAACGATGGGCAAACGTTTGCAAAAAAAATTTTTAATTTTTAATATTGGGGGGCTAACTTCACACAGCTGCCGTCTCTCGCGTTCCATTGATCACGAAATTACGTGCATCTTTTATACTGCGCTTTTTACATCGTATCTTTTTGTTGTATATCCGCGCAGTATATTGAAATATTAAATGAATATTATTCAGAGCAAGTAGAATAAAAGTACTTTTTTAAACTTGTATTCAATCCCGCAATTGCAATATTAATCTAACGAGAACTAAAAAATAATTGGATCAAAAAGAAACAAAAAAACAAGATTTCTTTTCTAAAATTATACTTGAAACCGGTAGAAAATCTCTCTGCAGACTCATCAAAGTTTGCAGCATGCGGAAAACGCGCTGATCGCATTAGAGTGGGCTTTCCATCTTTTTTTCTTTTATTCTCCCTCTTATTTTATTTTGCACCGCATGGTTTTCGTTTGCATTTTCGTTCATTATAGATTGTCTGCGTCCACCAAGTCCCTGTTCAACCTGTTCAAGCCACCGGTGATGAACAACGTGAAGCACGGGTAAATAATATCAAGTACTTTAGACGATTTATTCTCGTGTCTGGCTTCTCGCACTCGCATTTAGACGGCCCACGTGCACTGGCTGCGAATTCGCAACGTGCGGGCCTAAGATGCAATTTCGACCCTCTGCAGGTGAGCGCGCCGACGGCACGGTAAACTCTCGCATAAAATGGACGTTAAACGCACGTGTAGTGTTTCCAGTGGGTTATCGCCGTGATATATCTGCGTGATATACGATATGTAGGATATACGATCGAAGGCGGTTGATCTCAATTGCCACATCGATCATAAAATCAATCGCGGTTTATCTCTTTAGAAATCAGTAGCTGGAAATTTGTAGTGTTTCAGAAAAGGCTTCTCGCAAATTTAAATGCCGCTAATCACTATCTTGTAGCTAACGTTAATTATTTTATGAAATTTTGGTAATTCAGCGCTTATGCCATTTTTTTTTAATTTGTACATAAAGTTTTTACCGTAACTGGACCGAATACTTCGTTTAGCTTTTCTCAAAATTGCAATGCTTTGCATTTAACATAAATCGACATATATTATTTTCGAATAAAAAAAAAATTCAAGAATGTATATAAAGATAAATCAGATTTTTTGCGTATACGACCTTTATAAGTTATAACGGAACGTTTGTTTATACTAACGCATACTAAAACTGCTAATATTAGTTGATTGGTCGATCGTGTTACAACGCAAGCACGTTAAACGGGAAGTTACCGCACCACACACGTTTGCACGAAGCACAGCACGTATTATCGCTGGATTGGCATGCTGTTAATTATCACGATATGTGTTACTTTCGACCTTCGATCTGCAAAGCATGCAAATATCGTGCCGGTGTGATGCACGTAAATTTTCTTGAGGCCATGGAACTCTCTAGCTTGGTAAAAGTGCAATTCAAAGAGGCGTGCATACCCGATGAGATAGCGTGTGAAGCGTATAAGCTAGATAGATTTAAATGCCACGCCTGGAATTGTTTTGCGTTGTTTGGATCACGATCAAAACTAATTGCTCGATTTGATTGCGTTGATATAGAAATGATACGATTGTTTCGCGTTTTATATGCATAGCGAAAAATTTTATCATCTATATATCTCCTGCGAATAAAATAGACCGAATATAATGTCATTTTACACAAATTGCTTTACAAGACAATTAAAATAACAATCATGCAATTCTGCTGTATAATTTTATAATATATGCATGCTAGAAGTGGCATATTTCACAGTTGGAATACAAATAATTGGATTTATCATTAAAAGCGTGTTGCTTCTTAAAATTGCGTAAATAAATTTTGCAAATTTTTATGATCTAACAAAGCTATTATTTAATTTGATATTATATCTACGGTTGCGTGTATTTTATAATTATTTCTAGATTCTTGCTGATTAGGGATGTAATAAAATTCAACTTGCAATACTGAAAAAATTATGAATCTCTCGCAACGAGTAAGATTTCGATTAATAATAACTTTTTGAACTTACATGGAGTGACATGGAGATTTATTTGCGCACTGAAAAATCATCTAGGGCGCTTTCAGGCGGAGTTTTATTTTTTGCCGACGTTTCCGCTGTGCTCGTGACGCCGTGACGTCGTGCACACCAGGAAATGCAGCACGCACGGTTGTGCAACAGCAGGAATCGCGATTCACTTTCTTCGGTAACGCAATGGCGCGCTTCGCACTAGGACGTTAAATGAGCCGTTAACCACGTGGTTGGCCTTTCATACCTGTTGCCTTCTCACATCGTTCAACGTCAAAAATGTACTCGGAAGTGCTTTACTCTCGGTCCGCTTGTTATATTGTTACGAACGAACGCAACTTCATTTGAATATATCGATCAAATGAAATCAATAATACTATGAAAATGTGTAAACAGTTTATCCGATAATGTGACAATTTGTAATTAATCTTGTGAGCAGAGAGTTTTAATTGAAATTATGTTCACCTTTCATATCAGAATTAAACAATAACAATTGTTGTTCTTCCCATTGATAAAAAGTTTGAATTTTTTTACACACAACTTTTCTGTTCGCATTATTTGAATTAATTGGTTAAAAATTTTAATAAAGTTTTTACACAGCTATGGTTATTGCAATAAACATGAAGGTAACCGCAAAGGCTTCAAATTTTTATTTCAAGAAGAAGAATTCGGTCAAGGTTTATAATTCTTCACTGCTTCGCATTGATTCGCTTTGCTCGTCGTTGCACGGCATTCTTCTTTTCAAGTTCGCTTTACAAGGATGCTTAGACGAACAGAATTACTATCATTAGGATATAAATAGCGAAATTCGTAGCTTTGTAGAAAATCGTATTATGACTTAAAAGGCCGGAGATTAAAAGTTTGCGTGAAAAGAACATTATTTATTCGTGACTTTATGAGACGGCCCTCCTCGTGCCAAATCGAGTCGCTCGTTAAACAGATCCAAATGACCTTGATTGCGTCCGAGACGAGCAGACACCGTGATATCAAAAAGACTAAAAAAGAATACAAAATGACGTAACAGTAACGCGGCGCAACACGCTTCGCGGAGTAATAAAGCCGAGCTCATTGCTCGTATGAGTCACTCGTCGCGGTTACTAGACCTCATCGACACGGAAAGTCCGACAGTCTTTCTGTCAGTGTAGCGCGAGCGGTGAGATCAGGGAGTGCGTCAACGACAATATCGTGAAGTTTTTATAAGAAGTCATACAGAGTGAGAAAAACAAGCTGCCATTATCGCTTTACAACACATGTAAGAAGAATTTTGTTTAAAGCAATTTTAGTTGGTTCTTGCAGAGAATATATAAAATTTCAATAAAAAGAATAATATCGTAAAAAAATTCACCAATACTGACATTAAAAATTATCGATTTGAATAATGTTTACGAGCATTTGGAAAATACACTGTATTTTGGATCTTTAAAATGTGAGATAATCGATCGCTCAGAGCAAAATCAGCTAAACAAATAAAAAAAGTCTAAAATTAATTAGTATATAAGGCTCTAGTGATTGACGAATCAAATAAAATCAATAAAAAGCGTAAAGAGCCACAATGCTAGTTCTTCGTGCAAAGGTTATGATATATTCGTTTAAAATTGTTTACAAACGTTTCTGCCTGCTTTCTTCAATGTAAATACAATATAAGAATCAATAAAATAAGGTTCGTTCGCGATGATTACATAAAATAAAAGATGTGGAAGACGTATTTGCAATCCTTTTTCAACCAAGTTGTTGTTCGGTAATAAAATAGATAGGATTGTATTAATTTCATGATGGAGAAGCGCTCGCCCAAGTAGAAGGAACGAGGTGGAAAAGTGAAGACCAGATTGTTTTTACATGTTGAACGTTAATATATTAGTCAAAAATGTCTAAACAAACAATCTCTTCGCAGCACCAGAGACATGCAGTACAACGAGGAGGAAGGTACCGTCCGCATGTACTTGCGCGGCCGACCGGTCGTCCTTTACGTCCCTACAACAATGATGGAGTCCTACGATCTTCATAAAGTTAGCACGCCGCCGCAGAGCAAATTGAAGCTCGACTGGGTCTACGGATATCGGGGTCGAGACTGTCGTGGAAATTTACACCTGCTGCCGACCGGCGAGATCGTATATTTCGTCGCGGCGGTCGTTGTTCTGTATAACATGGAGGAGCACAGCCAAAGGCATTACCTGGGTCATACCGATGACGTTAAATGGTAAGTGACGGATCAGGACACGATTTCCGGTTTTTGCAAAAAAATGTTGAAGTTACTTAAATACTCTTTCTTAATTCATCAGCCTATGTAGTAAAAGTTATGAGTAACTAGGTATTAAATAATGTAAATTTTTGACATATCTTCTTGTTACAGCATAGCGATTCATCCTAACAAACTGATCGTTGCGACGGGACAAGTGTGCGGCACAGATCGCCGAGATGCTATGGTAAGATTATAAAAATATGTATAATTAAGGTCTTTGACAATCGAAAGATTGAAAATTTTTCACATAAAAAACGTTTATATTTTAGTTATATAATGAGATAAAGCACTACGCACTCGACAAATTACAATGCAATAATATCAGATTTTTCAATTTCAGCCACACATCAGAATATGGAATTCGGTAAGCCTGGCAACTCTCAGCGTGATCGGCAATGGCGAATTTGACGGATCGATTTTCTGCCTGTCATTCTCTAAGGCGGACGGCGGAAATTATTTGTGCGCCATCGACGAGACCTCCGATCACAATATATCGATCTGGGATTGGCAGAAGAGCGACCGCGGCTCTAAGGTTACCGAAACCAAGGTATGCGACGATAACTTGACATATTCGCAACGATCATAATGCAGAAAAATGTTAGAAATTATTACGGTCTATATATTTGTCTAAAATGTGGCAAACAATTGTAACTTCTATATATTCTGACTATCGGTACCAGAAACGAGTCATTAAACGTTCAATGACTGTCGATTACAGTGTTCCGTCGACACGGTGGTTTGCGCCGAGTGGCATCCGCTGGAACGGAGCCAGATCGTTTCTTGCGGTAAAGGACACGTGTCCTTTTGGTCCCTGGACAATGGTGGTATGCTCTACAAACGTATGGGTGTCTTCGAGAGCAGGGATAAGCCCAGATATGTCACTTGCATCGCCTTCAATCAAAACGGCGACGTCCTCACCGGCGACAGCAATGGCAACATTATCGTTTGGGGTCGAGGTAATCTCTTTACCGATTAAATTTCCTAATAATGCTCGTTAATTTGTTGTTTCCTCGATATCGCATATCTTGAAGCGTTGTAGATGGAAAATATGAAAATCTAATATTGTGTTTTAAGGAAGAATATTTTACTCTTTTACACGATTAGACGAATCTCTTTTTATTTCCGTAAAAATGATTCTATTCTTCGTTTTGCAATATTTATTATTTTATACTTTAATGCAGGTACCAACACAATCTCAAGGCTAGTGAGAAATCTCCACGAAGGATCGATTTTCTCGATATGTGTTTTAAAGAATGGCAATATTATCACGGGAGGCGGAAAAGACGGCAGAATTTTACATTTTGATTCATCCTTGAATATTACTGGAGAGGAAGCTCAGGCGAGTGATTTTAGATTTAAGATAAAATATATCTCTGCGTGCTTTTTCAGTTTTGCTACAGAGTTTTCTGATGTAAGAGAAAGAGAAGAAAAATAGAATAACAGGATGCATTCCACAGATCGAAGATCATTTTGGTGGAATTCGAACGCTCTCAGAAGGGAGAGGTACTCAGCTGTTAGTCGGCACCACGAGAAACTGCATTCTCGTTGGCGATGTTGAAATGGGTTTTAATCCGGCCATGCTGGGGCACGCCGAGGAAGTTTGGGGGCTTGCAGCTCATCCGACTTTACCTCAGTTTGCGACCGCAGGACACGACAGATTGTTGCAGATGTGGGACAGCCTAAGCCATACTGTGGTGTGGAGTAAAGACATTGGGGTAACTACCGTTTATTTGTCTAGATATACTGTATTTGACTTTCAGGAAATAAGCGCACTTGGCAAGAACGTTAAACACACTTAGAAAATTGCTAAAAATGATTTAAACATAAGAATTTTTAATTAATGGACAATTGATTGCGGATTGATAAAATGGATAAATGATATTTTTAATTAGGAGCAAGCACAAAGTATTGCTTTTTCACCGGATGGCAGTATCGTAGTCGTCGGCTGTACGTCCGGGAAATGGTTGGCTATTGATAGCGAGACGCGAGAATTGTACACGCATCATAGCGACGGATCCGAACCCATTCAGGTACGTTTACAATTTATAATATATTACGTTTTAGAAAACCAAAATCAGAAAAATATATTTTTAATTGATTAATTTGAATATTTGGCAAAATAATTTGTAAACGTAATATCATAGAATTTTGTGAAACTATTTTCTGCTTGCAATTTTATCTCATGACGCGTATAATTCCAGGTAGTTCAATTCTCACCCGATGGTACCTTACTTGCACTTGGCTCCAGAGATAATTATATTTATATTTATCAAGTGAACGACGATGCGACCAAATACAGCCGAGTTGGACGGTGTATGGTAAGTTCTTATTGATGATTACATAAAAAAGATTATCATAATTATCCATATTCCAAAGTTAGGCAAAACTTCAGCTGATTTTTGTAGGCGATATCCATTGCTTTTCTATTATTGCTCAGTAGTTAAAAATTTAAACAGCACAGAAAAGGCGGTGGGCATCAACTACAAAAAGTTATAAGTCTAACCAGCTCTGTTTTATATGAAATAAAATTTATATAAAATAGTAGATATTATTCATTTTGCATATTGTAAATAAAGAAACTAAATATATATATGTACATATTTATATTGCCATAATTAATCGTCAAAATTTATTAATAATTTGTTAGTTTAAATACCAACGAAGATAACTGACAAAAATAACTTCATATTACCATCCACAAAAATATCATATCCCTAAATATTTATTATCTACTATTTACTATGCCTGTTCCTATTATTTTTATCGTAAAGCTATAACCCTTCAATTGTATATACATCATCGTTAAAAACTAACTGTTGAAATGATTGTCTCAAAAGCTGTAGATATTTAAGAAAAAAATAATCTGCAAATACATATAATTGAAATTATTTTATCAGGCTAATAACATAACTAGAACGAAATATGTTTTATTAGTTTTATCACAAGTATAGAGCCTAATAATACTTAATATTCTTTTCCATTTTTAGCCAAAGCGGATTCGAAGGCACGGAGTAAGACTTATGTTTCGGCCACTCGAAAATGTAGAAGGGACGTCGCGTTGCGTGCAAAATCGTTTCGAATGCATTCAATTTTTCGTAGAATCAAACACGCAACGCGACGTGCCTAACTTATTCTCACACAGGATTCTAGATTCTACTAATTATGTAGCTAAAGTTCCACCTAATTTTTTAGCATTCACACGCACGTTAAACACTGCTTGTATGAAACATTGCAACCGCAGAATAATAGAATTGTATCGTCAGTTAATTATATGACACTAATTCTTTAGAGTATTTCTCAACTAGCAGCAAAACGTGCTCGCCACTTATTGCGGCAGTACGTGTATACTGTACACAATAGTGTGCATACATACAAGTTTTCTTTTATTTCAGGGACATTCAAGTTTTATAACACATCTAGATTGGTCCGTGGAGGGACAGTACTTGCGTAGCAACAGCGGAGACTACGAGCTGCTTTATTGTGAGTAAAATTATTTTTAATAAACATTTAACTGTATTATTCGTGACAAATTAAGATAAAATCAACGCATGGAAAGATCAGACTATATGAAAAACAAAACAATGACTACGGATCATAATTATTACTTGACGAATGCATGGTTGATAATAATAGAAGAATTTTTCTATAGAAAAATGAAATAATAATATTTGACATATGATATTCATTACCGCTCAAATAAATCGAAAATTATACGATCTTGAAAAAAGAGAACAATATTTATAGTCTATATTTGGTGATATTAATAATTTTGAATAATTACAAAGGGAATCCCACCGTGTGTCGTCAAATTCCGCAGTCCTCGTCGTTAAGGAATGTAGATTGGGCAACCCATACTTGCGTAATATCATTTGAGACGATAGGAATTTGGCCGGAAGGTGCCGATGGAACTGACGTAAACAATTGTACCCGAAGTGGCGACGGCAAACTCTTAGCTACGGGCGACGATTTTGGAAAAGTCAAATTATTTTCCCACCCAGCGTGTCAGCCAAAGGTAATTTGATAAGAATATTTTGCAACTATTGTGTCGTACATCGTTCAAACAAAATTTGTGTCTTTTATTTCAGTCATTATACCATTCTTATGGCGGTCATTCGAGTCACGTGACAAACGTCTCATTCCTGCAAGACGATTCGCGATTGGTATCGACCGGCGGCGCCGATACCAGCGTTCTGCAGTGGATAGTGAATTAAGCAAACCGTGCGGATCGAATAAATCTTATAAGTGCACTTCAAGATCGAGCTAAGGAGAAAGAAAAATATCATCGTCGTGTTGATTAAAACTACAACCACCGTTTACTGCTCGATCTACTTAACAAACGACGTGACAAGCGTCACGTCGTTCTTTTCTTAAAAGTATCGAAGATTGGATCACACCCTGACACTTGGATTTCTCAATATCAAAATACTGTTCGCTGCACCATCTACTTAATCGCAACGAACATCATGGCTCCCGTTCTTAAAAGAATTCTACCTGTTTAAAGGTGGGATTAATTTGACGCCTTAATTTTTCATAACATCGATAACATTAGGCGCAAAATATTTCTTAGATTCAAACATTTCTCGTATGTAAAGTAACTCAATACATCGCATGTGCAAATGTGTTTATTCTCGTATCAGTATATGTGATAGCACTAATGTAATTTTTTTCTTATCATTGTGTCTAATATGCACAATATTAACGAACAAATGACCGAGTATGACTACACTGTAAAAAAAATTTGATACATTTACAGCTATTAATAACAGAAAATTATATAATTTTATAAAAAATTTATAAAAATTATATAATTTTTATAAAATTAAAATTATATAACAAATATTATATAATTTTATTTTTTTGTTGTGTAAATATATCTTTATTTTGTATAGATTATTACATAAATAATAAAATATTTCACAAATCTTATGTAAATGTACAAATTTGTGTTACATTTTTACATAAGTAAATTTACAGTTGTATGTGTGATTTAAATTTATAGCGCATCACAAGTGAGCGCCATAAATTTAAAATTAGAAACTGTTCTTTGAATAGCTCGAGCTACAATTTATAAATTTACATTTGTGGAAATTTAAATTTATAATTGCTGATTCCAAAATAATCCGTTATAATAGTTATAATTTTTTAGTGATTTTTTTTACAGTGTATTCTGAAAACGATGGAGAAGCATAATTTTTGTTTATTATTTAAACGACAATTTTTATACAAGAATTCATCTTTTTGTTCAGTTTCTTATTTCTAGCAAAATTATAACTCAACAATTTTATATCAAAAATTTTTATTTTTCTTATAATAATTGATAGTAATTGCAAAAATTGTTAATTGAGGAGCATAAAATAATTCAATCTTATTTGTACTTGATGTACAAAGCTCCACGAGTGATCCTTAAATGTTCCCAGATTACTTATACGTAAATGGATGTATTTTCCCTTTTTTGGTTCTGTGGAAATATATGTGCGCGGGTACATACTATGGCGTGTATTAATTGACAAGTAGAGATTTGAAAATAAAGACTATTATTATGTCAAAATGATTAAATTTCATACAAACAATAAAATCAAATATATGTGGTGTTTGTCGAATAATATGAAAATTCTATTTTATTTTATATATTCAAATATATATAATTTTGATATTTATTATATATTCGAAAAACCATACACTTGATTGATGTTTATTCGTAAGTAAAACCTCACGCGACATACTTGTACGCGCATAAATATCTGCAATGTATCCTTAAAATTGCGCTAACTGTTCTAAATACATTCCGAATGCGATTCACGGTGTCGCGAGAGACTCAAAGAATCTCGAGTAAAGAAGTGCTTTTTTGAAGGGAATTCTATAAAAGTAACTTATTGTGAACGAAGGACCAAGACTCCTCACAGCCAAAAGCTAGAAGACTTTTAAGAAAGAGTCTGATTTAAAACGAGAAAAGGCATGAAAAATGTCGCGAAACAAACAGTTTACAGTGCCGTAATATGCCGTCCAATAGGAAAGTACGTAGCATAATTCGCAACTTGACGAGTGTGTTCTCGGCGCGGCGGAATTATGATGGCGAATCGATGGGACGACGTCTACGAATATGAAAGACTAGATTGCAAAAAGAACAAAAAATAAAAAAGATACTTTTCGAACGTATGCCTACGGCGTACGTATATACGAGGAAACTCGCGTCGCATGATGTCCCTTTGACGTTTCTCACGTATCTCTCCTTTTCCCCCTTTTTGGCATGAAGTATTTTACCAAAGTCTAACAGAATCAGAATCATTACGTTTTTCACTCATCATCAACGTGTAAGATATATCTATATACATATTTTATTTATGTCATAGTAAGGAACGTATGTGTAACTGCGTTATGTATGTATCTTTAGTAGTTAATAAATCATCTTCAAGGCAGCATAGTACAATGCGAATCACTTGAAATTAATATAATTAATTATACTACATATGTATATATAGTATAAGAAACCATAACATTAGTTAAAGTAGTCTAAATAGTAGTCCAAAACATTTGCAATGTTAGTCGTTTAACAATAGATTCGATCAGAAAATTATAAAATGGAGCATCAATTATGTCTATATGCATTTTGTCAATAGAATCTATTAACACAACGTGATGACAAATTGATAGTAAAAATTGAATAGATATGCTCTTAAAATAATTCATTTAAATGGCATATCAATCCAGTTGATGCTATTATTTCTTTTTATTTTATTTATATTTCATTAGTAGCTAAAATAGTTTTACAAGTTCCTAAAATTATTTTATTAGTCCAAATTATTCAACATAAATTTGAATTATAATTTTAGATTTAATTTAATTATAAATTTCAAAAAAATAATAATAATATGTAGTCATTTTCTTAAATAAAATTATTTTTTCGTTAATAAAATTTATAGCAAATGTAAAAAATAATCACCATTTATTCAGAATTTATTTTTATGTTATCGTTGCAACGCTAAAGTTACTCATATTTTATTTCGTACATGCACGAGCAGTTGACTGTTAAATTAAATATGAACTCGATATCTCTTCGACGGAAACGATCGCCAGTGAAATTCCATGTTTGTTGTAAATGTTTAAATAGCAATTTCTTGATGCGACACATTGGGGAGATGGCGGCAAATGCGGTTTTAATCGAAAGCGGTGAAAGTGCCGTCATTTAATGCCGTTAAACTCAAGGTCGTTAGCGGAACCGAAAGAAACGCGACGAAAAAGGTCAAGGTTGTGTAGGAATGAAAGCGTATCCCAATTCGCGAAGCGAATTTTCCAACTGGACCATCTCGCATTCAAAAAGCTGTCGCAATCGAGCTTTTTTCGCGTCGAGTACTTCTTTCTGGTTGGGTTTATTTCCTGAGAACGTGACTTCCTTCCGCGAATGAAGTGGAACTTTACGACACATACGGTGTCAATAATTACTTCCGCTTCGCTCGCTTTCTTTGGCCTACAGACGAAATTACATTTCGGTAACATTATTAGCAATTTTTACAAATATTAATCAAGCATTTGACATGTAGAACTAATGAAAAAAGTATATATCAGTGCGAACAAACGTTTAATCATTGAATTAGATATAAAGTATCTACAAAATTAAAGATAAAGGGTTTGTTAGAAAATTAAAATCAGTGCAAATAAATATTATGTTAAAAAATATTGAGTTAATTCACTAAATTTCAAAATTTTTATCACTTATACTGTTTTGCATCTCATGATAACATCTCTCAAATATGCGAATAAATAATTGTACTTAAATGCGAAGGCAATGTCATATGATAAATATTGAATGATAACGTTTTATTATTTACGATCGCTGTTAAAACTACACGTTGCCAAAATTGAAACGAGATAACCTCGAGACAGCGCGGCAAAACCAAGACGACGCGACGATCGTAAAATTTACGTTCGTGCGAAAGAGAAACTTACAATATTGTCGGCGTAACGATCGGCGCTTGGAGCTGTTCGCACGAAGCATCGGCCGACATCTTTTTACACGAAAATAAATTTCTAACAGTGACACGAGAGAGTTTTGAAACGCCTGGCAGGATTTTACGAGGCTCACTTCGGTGCGCTCTTGAAAGAAGCCCCCGAAGTCACTTTCGAAAATAACTTCGTTTACGAGAACGACAAGATCGACTTCGTTCGTTTTATAAATAATCCCGCTTTGTTCGTCGACGCGTATGTTATCTACAGCTATGAATGAACGTAAACTCGAGCCGTTCCTTCCGTTTGCCGCAGCGGCAGCGTCTTTTCATTGCCGTTTACTTGTCAATAAATTACGCGTTAATTAATCTTCCGTGTAAGACGTATAAAAGGTGCAACAAAATTTCGGTAATAATCAAAATGATGTTCTCAAACGTAAATTATTGAAAATATTTTTTTGCAATAACCATTTCTATATCAATTTAAAATTATATTTTATTTTTAAATACTATGTTTTAATTTATTAATGATAATAATTCAAGTATCGTAAAAACAAAAAATATATGTAGAAAAATCTGTGAGCTATTAGAGTTGCCTGAATATTCGATAAACCATTGTCAAAATTATTAATTGTGTATTTAATGTTAATTATATCATAATTCTATATAATATATTATTTATTATGTAACGTCATTTTTGAAGCAGTGATTATTTAATTTAGTATAATAAATCCCAATACAGTTTGGAAATAAATGAGCGATTGTAAAGTTAGGATTCGTTATACCATTAAAGATCGTTAATTTTCCGCTCGAAGCAGACTGCACATGCTAAAAAATGACAACAACGTTGTTATACTCAGATTTAATTCGAGTCGATCGAAGCGGTCTCGAAACAACACATTGCCGTCTCGCCGAGCACTTAAGCGCTTCTGAATGCGTTTGGCCGTTCGATCGTTCAAATCATCGATCATGCTTAATTGTATCCATCGTCCGCATCGCCGATATCACCCTGTCATACGCTTATACATTATGCACGTCTGTCGAACAAAATCCAAAAGACGTAGTAGAGGAAAGGAGAAAGAGAGAGAACATTCAGAAAATATCAAACAGTCATTTATCGATACAGCGGCTGCTCCAATTTAGAGAAGCAAAATTAATCGGCGCGTTGCGAAAGAAATACAACGAAAAAATCTTATTGAAGATGACGTCAGGATTGCGTTCTGATTTATACGAGTTTCAAGATCGCAACTCGTAATAATTCGCGTGGAGAGCTCATTATCGAACGGTGATTTTTTTCCTCACGTTGCCTGATATCTCAGCAGGATTGGCGTGATTACATAAACAGATTTATTTTTCTTCGTTTCTAAGAAAGAGAAATTAACTCGGTGAGTTTCTAATTACGTATTAAAACTGATATAATTTTGATAAGATTAATTTTTAATTAATTTTAATTTATTGCCAGCAAGCATTTATTTAAAAAAATCGATTTTATTTTCTTTTAATATCATGTGAAATATAATTGCTTCTATAAAAGAAATAAATTGTTCTGTTATTAAAAAAATTTTAATGTTAAATTTTCAATTTGTTTGTATTACGAAAATATATAATTGGCATGACATACAATAAAGTTCATCGAAATTGTTTCGAAACTTTCAATCTCTGGTTTTAATGAGCAAGGAAAGTTATACACTGCATGCAGAATGATACAAAAGATCGGATACGCACAGAATCAGAGCGGAAACAGCAGTGAAAATCTTGCGCCACCGAACGAAAGTGTGCGCCTCGAAGACAATTCTATCGTTTCGTCAATGTTCTCGCTCGGTGCTCGTGACACGGATAGCCCGAAAAATTGGGAAATATTTAACTCCAGTATTTCGGAACGTGCAATTCTGTTTATATGCAACCACTGAGCAATATATTTTCAACATATTATATAACTATTTTGCATCAAAATTAATATATAAAATTCTAGTTTTTATAATTAAACCAGTCATTGTTTTAGATCTAATTAAAAATCTAATTAACAGTCTACGGCACGTGACATTTAAAGAGTCGAGAAACGGTATATCTATATACGTTTAAATTTGCATTAGCACAACGAGATAAAGCACTCGCATTTCCTCAATTAATTTATCGAGATCTGGAACGTGACGGTTAATGGTGTACAGGTGATAAAAATGGTTTCCCGTAAGGTAAAGTTGTATTCAGCCAGTCGGAAGGAAAAGTAGCCGTTTCCCACGACGAAGGGTCGATTACATCGAACCCGCTTGAGCTTTAAAGCAACTCTCGTTCTCGCTCCGTACATGTGTGTTTACCCACAGTCACCCATGTACATATGTGCATAGTCTCACCAAAGCGCGCGAGTAAACTTAAGGTTCATTCATAATAAAAAATCTTTCCTTTAATCGCTTCTCTAATTTTCTTACAGGCGTTCCTAGGCATTATATTTTTACCACCTATAAAAATATAGAAAGGTAAATATAAACTTATTTCTGCAAAAAAACACACATTTCACTTTCATCATCGTTAAAACCAAATAAAAATGACATAAAATGTAATATTTTATGACCAATTTTCTAAGAAGAAAATGCGCGAGAAAAGAATACAATTAAGATCTAATATAAATACAACATAGTTTTGCATTGCGCTTTTAAAATTTAAAATAAAATAATAAATTAAAAATAATTATTTTTCTTTGCCAAAAGAAAACCAGCTCGTCTTTTATTTTACTTAAGTGTTCTTTATTTAATTTTATAAATTTTTTTGCTTTCAAGACTTAATCCTTGTAACTCACTTCATTATTCTTGAATTTGTCAGTGCAAATTCCGCTTAAGGAACGAGCCGAGCAATCTACTCAGGGAAAGTGCTGTCCTACTTGCGCGCCCACCACTGTTGTACAGACGGACGATCGCCGCTACACTGGCGCGCTTACTATCGTCGCATTATAGTGCACTACCATTGCTAGTATGAGTAGCACTACTGCGAACTGCGACTGGTAGTTGCAACGTCACGAACGAACGCACCTATGCGAAGCATTTGTTCGGGACGCCTTTATGCAATCGAGCGTGTAACGCGGCGCGAGCGTGTCGCAAGATTTCATGAATGAATTCGCGCGGCTCATGTATCGGCACGTCCTCGAGAAACCGATCGACAACGGCAAGAAAGAATCGTACCTTTGCCTTCACAATACGTCGTCGTGAAGGCAATGTAACGGGAGTTAGGGAATACGTGTGGCAGATGTATCAATGAATGATTAGTGGATAAATTAATGGTTATAAATAATTACTAGCTTTATGCTGATTATCACAATCGTGTAAAATAATGTAATTATCTTCCCAAACTATATTGATTTTTTAATTATTTTTCAATTTTTGATAATTTTTCATAATATATTATAATATTTTATATTAAACTTTATCTAAATGTCTTACATATAATTACTAATATTTGAACAATATAGAATTTTACTTGAATTATAATAAAATTAAATATTGAAATCTCTTTCCTCAAAACTTCTAGTTAAAATGATTGCTACGTGTACACAAAAAAGGCATACAAAAACACTTTAAAATTCTTTTCGCGATTTTGTTACATCCAGCTTTTGTATCACTCAAAAAAATATTTTGCTGATGTAGTTAGATTTCTAGATATCGCAACAAGAATGTATCGCTATTTTTCGTATCTGTGAAAACATTGTTTGTCACATATAGAATTTATAGCAGTAATGTTCTAGCAATAGCTTCTGAAAAATTTAGGTACCATTGCTAAATGTTATTCATTGCATGATCTAACACGTGATTGATCTTATATAGATAGGCGCTTTAGAGAAACTTTCTTTTTAAAGTTCACAAACAATACAGATATATATTCTGTTTCCGTCATCTAAACTGATTAAGTAATTACATATGCAATATCACAACAGTTGCTAATCATTTATCTGTTTTAGTTAATTTTTTACACCTAGAAAATTTTAGCTATTATTGCAAGATCATTTTTTTGAGTGATTGGAACAACACGCGCTTCGCGCGGATTATCGCTACTCTAATCGCGGGTCACTATGAATCATGTAATCTGGTGTACGTTCCACGGTGCAAAATATTTTATGAATTAATGTATGAGTAGGTTCACAAGGTGTAATAAATGCGCATACGGTCTCCTTGGGGTCTCTGCTTGTGCTCTGCTTAAACTTAATTTTAAACTATAGAACTTGCGAAACCGTGTGGAGAGACACGAGTCGTCGTTTTCCCGGGAGTGCGACAACCGGTTTTTCGTCTTATTCCGAGAGAATCTGCGCCTACGCGGAACAGAACAAAACGAGTTTTCGGCGGCGGAAAACCACAGAAGGAGAAATCCCCAACGTTAATGAGTCAAATACTGACGAATCAAATTATTTGTTGGCTCTTAATTAAAACGACATATTGACGTTTTAACATTCAAATGCAATTCTGAAGATAAATATGTAATTAAATACTTATTCTTTATATGGCGCTGTTTTAATATAAATTCCAGAATGCCATAAAAAATATCATGATTTAGAAAAAGATAAAAACGCACAATATCTTTTAAAATGCTATTTTCCTCATATTATTTCCTTATATTATCTACCCCAAATGGCTTAAGATATGTAACTTTGGTAATAAACATAAAATATTCTGATTTCATTCTCTAAGAACGTTGAATGACTCATCAAGCATATTTAGCATTAAATATGCGGTAAAAATATGAATATCAATACTAATTGCCTTCCAAAGCAATGCTTGACCGATTGGCATTTCTGTCATTTCATGGAAAAACTCGTCATTGCATTTTCCCACCATGTTAATGTAATAAATGCGTAAAAGTTTAATACCCAATAAATATTGATAACTAAAATAATCAATATCGATCCGGAACTAATTATAAGGCTTTCGAAACATCTTTTAATTAAATAAACTACTGAAAAATAGGATAGGATTAGAGATATGATGCGATGAAAACTTCTCATTTATAGTGTTACATGACGGGTTTTACACGATATAGCGCAATTGCACGTAAACAAAAACCCGTTGAAGGAGTTAATGACTCGTTTGTACTTATAAATATTCAATCCTTAATGTATATCATTAGCGGTTAATGGCGCAGATATCACGATACGTATCAAATGCATAAAACGCTAATAAAGCCTTAATACGCTCCTCTTTTTTTCGCTCGTCACAAAGTTATTGCATATCACCGCGGCATCGCAGCCGTTTTGCGGCGCGGCATGCGTAATTACTCGAAATGCGGGACGAAATCGACGTCAGTAATTAAGCAGCTCCTTTCTCCGCGCTGCAGATGGATTAACTGTATACGAAAAGCCCGCAATAATTATAGAGTGCGACCGGTGAAACGTTAAGTTTCGCGTGTGAAACGTCGAATCGCACGACTTCTGGCTACATCTTCCTCATGACACTTTCTTCATCGTCGTCCGCTTATGCAACCGCGTCAGTTTTCGTCCGCGTAGATTCAACGGGGATGAGTTATTATTCTTGCAATCGAGGCAAGTAGCACATCTTTTAACTACACGAAGAATTGAATGTGCCAATTATACAAAACAGATACCTAAAATATTATGCAATAATGTAAAGAGAGATTGATATACACCGTTTCATATGTCAAATATTGGAACACCTTCAATTCCGGGAGATTCAAATCATTAAAAATTAAAGAATTTTTAATAAAAAAACTGAATAATTTTAGAAAAATCTACACGAAAAATTAAAAAAAGATTTATTTTAAATATGCAAAGTTCTTTAATAAGCTAAAACGAGTAAAATAAGATTTTTTAATATAAGTAGTACAAATCAATTAAGAATCTTTATCCCGTACAAAGTTAATTTTATTTCGGAATTTTGCAATTAACCGCTTCATTCGTATCGCTCAGCGGGGATGACATTTTTCACATGAAACGAAATAGATCTCCGAACTAATTAGTGAAAAGCTCGCGTGTGTCGCAAGGATAAATATAAATCCTGCGAGGCACATTGCAACCACCACCAGGACGGTAGCAGGCAACGCCCTTAAAAAGCGGAGCGAAAACGATCGCAATGGCGATGGCGCAGCGAGAGGGGTCCTTCTCGAAGTGAAAAAGGACGTGGCGGCGGGTGGGATGCGGGTCGAGGCAGGAGGGAAGCGTAAAAATGGACGAAAAAGAAGGGGGATACTCTCTTGGCTTCAAATCAAGGACCAGACGAACCGGTCTACACCGTCCACGAGTTGCGTCTCATTTTTTTCGACTCCTTTTTCCCCCGGGCGTATCCTTCCTTTTTCTCTCTTCCCTCTCATCTTCCCCCTTCTCCCAACCCCTCGACCGCCCCTTGCTATAGTTGCTTCTTAACCCCTCTTTTCATCTCGGATCCTTGCAGGTGTCCGAGACAAGAGCTGCCCAAAAGTCGCGGCTTTGGCGGGTCCAGATTCAAGACCCCCGTGTTGTTATCCTTCTTCTTGGGAAGAAAAGAATGGAAAAAGGATTGACGAATCGGCCAATCTTGCGAATGATTCGCCAGAATTCATTCAATTGGCGTAATATAATTTGATAAATAAAAAAAATGTAAAAATCTCTTTCTTCTCGAATATCTGTTGAAATTATTGGCATTGATGTTTACAGTATCTCTGTATTTGTAGGAAGTGCCTTGGTATAAAGAAGAAATGTACGTATGCATCAAATAAAAAAGCTATACAAAATTATTAACCAATATAATATTTTTTTTTTTCATAAATGATATCAACCTTCTTTTTGCGAAACACAAAACACAAGATACAACCTGCAAAAATATTATTACTAACTTTACACGCATCACATTCTATGGATGCAATTACAATAGAGCCCGGTTGTTGTGTTCTCTGAAACACGGGAGCCTCTCAGAAAACCTAATTTTCTTTAATAACCTCCTGTCACACGTATCCTGTTTCGGTCAAATATTCGCTGCACGCCCACTTAAAACGACAATTTCCCGATCGTGAGAGTCTTATATGGAGCTCTCCTTATTTCGCCTTATTTCTTTTGCGAATTGTAACGTGCGCTCAGGTGATCGAACTCCGTCAAGGGTCGTGCGAGGATCTTCAAGGAGAGAAGGAAGAGAGGAACGCCTCTCTCGTGAGCGCTTTTTGCTCCGCGAAAGACCGCCTCTCGCGCAAACTTTTTTATCCCCCTCTTATGACTCAGTAATTTAAATTTTCGGAGCATCTCGAGAGAGGAAGAAAGAGACTCGCGGCAAATGAGACGGGTGCGTATCTTTTTCTTCATCGTGCGACGTACGCTCTCCAGAATTGCGTTCGTTCTTCGCGATCGCGAGCCAGGATCTGCTTCGGAAACGTTCGCTCGGAGGAAATCGTACGACGTTCGAAAGAGTACGAGAGGAATACCTAAGGAGACGCATTGTTGCACGGCGCCTCGATTCGAATGCAAAGCCGCAGCATAAAAGGCGAAGCGAATCGACGACAGTCTTCTTTTTTTCTCTCCACGCATGATTTTATTCTATTCGCAATCGACGCACAGGATGCAGGCTATTTCAGACGGTTTTAACTTTAATGACAGATACTTCGAACTACCTGAAGTTTTTCTTCCTTCTGCTGAAAGAAGACTAAAATATTTAGCTGGATGGTTTTTCAATCCATAAATAAAATTCAAAATGTTTTTTACTATACGATTGAATAATAAAATCTTGCGTGTAAATTCCAATAGTATTTATTTCCATTTGTGTTAAACTCGTTAAAACGCTTGATGCACACGACTGATCGCGCATAACCTTTGACAATCGGTCGTGTCGTACAGCTGTTTATTATCAACAACGCGGAAGCGGCTTCCGGTCGCTTCGCAACGCTTCCTTCCGGCGCGGATTATTATTCGCGCCCCGTCGACGGTAAAATCGCGCGAGACAGCAGGCGAAGTTTTTAAGCAAGAAAAGGCGGAAAGACAAACTGCAGACGCGACGTTCCTTCATCAGCGTTCGCGATCATGTATGCGGCGTCCGTTGCATTGTAATGCAGTTCGCTGATACATGCCGATCGCCCGGCGATGGCGTAACGGTGCGCATGCAAACATTTATTGTTGAAAGGAAGAACACACGACAACACATCGAAAACGAGCAGTTGCCCGTGAGAGGTACAAGGTCTCTAGAATAAAGCAACCTTGAAATTACGAGGAAGACGAAAGTGATCGTTCGTGATACGCGTTTTGCTTTG